AAAGCAGAGGCACCCCAGTAGCAATGAGCACATTCAGCTCCAGATCTTGGTTTCTAAATCCCATTCCCCTCCAAAAGGGTCCAGGGCTTCCTTGAGAAACGGTGCATTCAAGGGCTGGGAGAACCTAGGACGCCGTCTTGTGGCAGAAATGAGGAAGTGCTGGGAGAATAACAGAAACACCTCAAAAAGATGCAGGAAAGATGTCAGTGTTACAGGTGGTTGTAGAGTAGCTCAGTGTACGGCGTCATGGGTAGCTCTCCCAATGGCAAATCACGGCTCGGTGGTGACGTAAGGAAATGCCTTCTTCTTAGAAAACACCTTCTTCTTAGGAAAGAAAGTATTTAGCCACGAAGGTGCACTCTCCATTACTCTCAGGTGGTACAGAAAAATTGTTATATGTACGTGGAGAAAGAAAGAGAGAGATGGTAAAGCAAACGGGCAACACGTAAACAACTGGCGCGTCTGTCTAGGAGACACACGGAAGCGGGGGAGGGTGTAGCTCAGTGGCAGGGCACGTGCTTAGCACGCACGCGGTCCTGGGTTCAATCCCCATTGCCTCCACTGAAAGTAAATAAACCTTATTACCTCCCCCCTAAAAAAGAAAAGAGAAGAAAAAACAAAGATACGCAGGAGTTCCTTATACTGCTCTTGCAACTTCTGAGTTTGAAATGATATAAAAGTAAAAAGTCACTCCCCCCCCTAGAAAAAAGGAGCACAAAAGTCAGCTTGAAGGGGGTCTCACTGGCCAAATCTGGGTCAATCTGAGCATCAGAAAGAATCACTGAATTTCAAAAATCCATTCATTTGTATTAATACTTCAGAATTTAAAAAATCTTGACCAAAACATGCCTATTAAATGTAGAGGAAGTGACAAGGTTGGAAAGTTGTGATTTTGCAAACATAATTATAACGATGGATGTAGGCAAGGACCATTAACTGACGCTAAAACCACCGGGCAAATGGTTATTGGCAACACATCACATTTATGCTCTCAAAGAATTACCCCACACACAGCTTATTTAGTCTATGAGGGACCTAGACCGTGGAGGAACCTGCAGACCTCATCTTGACCAAGTGTTCAGTCTGTGCGTCCACACTAGGGGCACAACCTGATCTCCTGGACTTCCTGAGGGGCTTCATCTACCCCACCTCACTGCCTCAGATGTTTAACTCCAGGAAACTATCAGGCAGCTCCAGCCTGTGGCCTCTAAATAATGCAAATGTCATGAAAATTCAAAACAAAACAAAAGATGGTGGGGCCGCGGTAAGTTAAGGGAGTGAAAACAGATTCAACGCAATGTGACAACCGGCTGTAAAGGACCATTTGGGGACAACAGGGGAAATTCTAAACTGGACTGTGTGTTAGATAATATTATTGTGTCCATGACTGCTTGGTTGTCGGGCGTGGTGACTGGTTACAACTGAGTAGGAGCAGGTCCTGGGATTTTTGGAGGAGCTGCTGAACTATTTGGAGGGAAAGTGCCTGGATCTCATCAACTTACTTTCAAATATAAATACACATGCTTGCACAAATGCAGAGAGAAAAGGCTACTGGGACAAATCGTGAACAGTTGGTGCACCTAGGTGAAGGAGTAGAAAAGAGTTAAAGCAGTGATTTATCGTATTAAATTTTTAGCTTTTTGGAGCTTTGACGTTTTTTGAGAGTTTTATAGAGATGACTATAGAGGTACATGCAGTTGTAAGAAATAGCACAGAGCAAGCCCTCCTGTATTTATGTACTTTCTTGCAATGGTAACATTTCGCAAAACTAGCACAAAATCCCAACCGGGACAGTGCCCTGAATACATTGCACCCATGTTCCTTCACATGCATATCATGCTGTATCCAGTCTTATCCAGTGTAGGTCCCTGGCGCTGCTCTCCCATAACCCCGCCTCCCCTAACGTCTGGCAACTCTTACTGTGTCCTCGATTTCTAAAATGCTGTCATTTCCATGTTATATAAAGGGAGTCGCACAGCATGTAGCCTTTAGGGACCGGCTATTTTCACTCACCCAGTTTCCCGGGAGACTCACCCAGGCTGCAGTGTCAGCAGTTTGTTCCTTTGATTGCCGAGTGGTGTTCCATGTGTGGATGCGCCACATCCTTTAACTGCTCACCCGATGAAGGACATCTGGCTTCATTCCAGCCTTTGACTATTAGATGAAGCTGCTGTGAATGCTAACATGCAGATCTGTCTTTTTTTTTTTTCCCCTAAAATCCTTTGTCAAGGGCTGACTTTCAGTACACTGCAGTGAGGGAGCTGCTCTGCTGCATGGGAAACCCTGACCCAGAAGCAGGTCGTCTACCAATGATTTAACACCAGGTTCCCCACGAATGAGCAGTGCATCATGGCCGAGGGGGTGGCCATCTTTCTGCCCACACCTCATGTTCCACGAGGAAGGGCTCTCCATGGGACCCTGGTCCCGAAGATCTGTCATTTTTTAAGATAGCAAATTTGGAAAGAAAATTATGAGCTGCAAAAAGAGGCTGAATGAACTACAAGAGCATTAAGGAAAGTCTCCTCTTCTGGGCCTCGCACACCTCCCAAACATGACCTCTGACCCCACAGTCAGCTCCGTGGTCTCCGCTGTGATCACATCCTAGACCCTGGGCGGCTCAAGTCTATGCCATGGGGAAGGTGAGAGTCCTTTCTGCTGTGGTGTGTGGCTGGTTTGTCAAGCCACCGGAATTTTTGGCTCCGGTCTGAAATAATCCCCTGTCCCAAGGGAGCCTCTGGAGGCTGGTCAAGCACCCCAGGGCTCCGAGCAGCATCCAGGGAGCATCTCTGGGGCTTGTCTTCACGGGCGCCTCATGGGGTCTGGTCTGTCCTGCTTGGTCTTCCCTAGGTCCAGTCTAGCCAGGCCACTAAGGGAGGTGGCTCTGCTCTGCCTCCCCACCTCCCACTGCCAGTGCCCAGACACAGACCCCACTAAGCCTGAGGCACCCCGCCCCCTCCAGGCAAGAATCAGCAGCCAGAGGGGAAGGCACACACTGGGGGGCCGCGTGTTCATCTGCCCCCATCAGTAGTCATTCCTCCCACAGATGTTGGCAGAGCATATGCCCCGTGTGGGGTCTGCTCAGAGTGCATGCACAGTGCAGGCAGACAGGGCTGCCCTGCGTGGAGACAGCCCTTAAACAAGTGAGCAGGCACAAAAGGCCCGTCCCAGTGCTGATGAGGCTCTGAGGAAACCCTGAAGTGCTGAAGAGGCCAGGTTGGAGGCAACTTGAGATGCGGGGGGGGGGTGGCTATCACAGAACTGCTCATAGGGCTCTGATGGGCTGCAGGGTGGGTGGGAGAGCTTGATCAGGCAGTGGTCAGAAAAGCCCCAAAGGTGTCTGTTCCAAGGCCAGTGTGCTCAGCTACACCTGGACAGTAAGACCCACGTGAGCAGGTAGGAGGGGGCGGGGCAGGTTAGCTGGGGTCCTCTCTGAGCCAGACAACATCTCAGGGGAGGGGACTGGCCATTGGTGGTGGTGCCATGTGTGTGGCTTGGTGAGGCACTGAGGTTGCAGAGTGCTGGATGGGCCCATTGGACTGTGAGGCAGATCCTGAGGGGTGGCCCTGAAGCTGTAGCTACCCTAAGGTTTTCCCATTTTTCCCAACATGCCTGCAGGCATCTGTCAGTATGAGGATGCTCGGGAGACGGATGTGTCAGCTACACGAAGGCCTGGCAACACCCACATCAGAGGGGTGTTGGGATCCCACAGGCCCCTCCTCCGTCCTCCCACTGATTTGGGCGACTGGAATCAGGGGCCAAGTTCTACTGCAGGGTTTGGCTGCCGGTAGTGAGGGCACAAACAGAATGCTCATCGCAGACTTTTACTGAGTCTGCTCTCGGGTCTGGAGTTTCCGGCCCGCCTTTCCCCGCAGCCGCCTCCTGGCCTTCACACCACCCCACAGGGCTGGCAGCCAACCACTCCGCAGAGGTGCGGGGCCTCACTCCACCCCTCTGGACCACAGCGGGTAGGAAGGGGGACAGCGGGGCCAGGACGGGCCGGCAGGGACAGGGAGCCGAGGACTCGGCGCGCTCATGGCCCGCACGGCCGGTCGGCACCCAGGGCCACA